ATCCTGGGGAATGTCTCCTAAGAGGCCTCTGCAAACCTCAACTCAGGAGATCCGAACTTTGGATAATAAAACTATCAAGCAGCCCTTGGAATTCTCCTGCATTTGTCATTTAGAAAGAAATCTGGAAAATAGAGGATGTTTAACAGATTTAGGTGATTTTCAGCCAATGGACTCTTGACAGACTGGAATTCCCCTGCCTTATCTGTTACCTAAAGAACGGTTTATTACAGTGACTAATTTCAAACTGTTTTTTTTTTTTTCTATACCTTTAAAGCTACAGGATAGAGAGAAATTTACCTTCACAATGCCCGCTTATAAAAATTTCTAACCTGTTAGAAGAGACGCAGTGGAGGGTTTTGCCACAAAGAATATTAAACAGCCCCATCTTGTGTCAATATTTTGTGCAACCATCCATTGGAAATAAACAGCTTCCTCAGTCTAGAATTTACCATTACATGGTGATATCTTACTAATTTTGGTGCAGATACCTTAGAAAAATACTTGCTGAAGTAAAGAGAATTTTACCTTGCCGGGGGTTACAAATTGCTCCTGAAAAATACCAAGAGGAGATTCTATTAATTACCTAGGATATAAATTAAGTTTACAGTAAATTCAACCACAGAGTACAAATCAGGAGAGAACAGTTATGAACTCTTCATGGTTTTCGAAAGTTGCTAGGACATAGTAACTGGCTATAGCCCACAATTGGATTAACAACTCAAGAGCTAAGTAATTTATTCCAAACCTTACCAGGTGATAAGAACTTTAAAAGTCCAAGAAAATTCTCTGCTGACACTGAGAGAGTGTCAGCAGTCAGAGGGCCAAGAGGTGTATGGGGTAGGACCCCACGTTGCTGGGGTATCTGTAAGGTCCAGTAGACCTGAGACAGAGAGTGTGGATTGAGGAAAGGAATAGTCAAGAGACAAGAGATAGAGTCAGGAGGGCACCTGGTGAACGCCAGGATCAGTCCAAGTTTATTGTTCAAAGATCTTTTATATCCCCCATCAAAAGAAGGGGAGAAGGCAAAAGACTTCCTCACCAAGATACAAAGAACCAGCAAGCGTAATTGTCTCCTCAATACTCAAAACATCAAGTAACTATATCCTCGGTTAAGTAGTGTTGTTTAGGCAGGACATGAATCAACCATATCCTAGGCCAAACATTCTGTTTTTTCCGCATCTTGAGCCAGACATCTGTTGCCAAGTTAAGACACACAACAGCCACAGTTTAAGCCAAACATCTGTTGTTTCACCTTGGAAGAGCAGGGGCAGGTAAAAACTCTCTGGCTTTAAGTCAAAATGAAATGGAGCCATTTTCATGGGCCCCAACAGTATGGCAGCCAGGAGCTCTCACAGAACCTTCCTCTGGGTGCCCTGCCTAGCTAGGTGTTTGTTCTGCAATTTCCTTGTTGAATTTCTTTTCACCTTTCTGTCTTTTTCATCTATGTTGCTACTTTCTTGGGCATTTTTACTGTCTTCTCTCCTATGTGGCTGAGTTTCCTCTGGAAGTAATAGACTCGTTTCCTGACCCCATTGATGAATCATATCCTTTTTGAGGTCATCTGTCACTTTTGCTAAAAGAACCTTTGACCCTTCTCCATGCCTTTGAATGCAGCTGGACCAATCCTGTTGCCTTACTTTTCCATGTTTCCTGTGTGTATCGGATGCAAGTATATGAGGTCTCTGCTTTCCCTCCTCCTGCTGGGGAGTCACACAGCTGGCGCTGTTGTCAGCTCAGCTTTCTGGTTTTGTTGCGTCATCCTTCAGGGTTTCTGTGCTTTCAGCTGATCTTAATGCCTTGTGGACTTCAAAAGTTCTTCCACTCATGATCTTGCATTGGAATGCAGTCCATAGTTTTCTTGCCCTGCCTGGTCTTCAACTGACCATACAAAAATATTTCTCATCAACTGTGCTACCTAAAAATTCCTTTTATTGGTTTCTTGTC